TGTATGGATACAGTTGAGAAATACCAAGCAGCAAAAATCATTTGTGCGTGTTATACGTAGACCCCCAAACTGCAAAGGTGATGTTGGGAATGTCATTAAACAGGAAATTAGAGATGCACGTGATAATAGAATATCGGTGATCGTGGGTGATTTTAATCTGCACGTAGACTGGCAAATCAAATCAACCACAATGCCATAGAGAAGAAATTCTTGGGGTGTACACGGGATGGTTTTCTTGACCAATATGTGGAAGAACCTACTAGAGAGCAGGCCATCTGAGATTGGGTGCTGTGTAATGAGATCAGAATCATTGCCAATCTAGCTGTGCAAGATCCCTTGTGGATGAGCGACGATAATATGAGAAATTTTTATCAAGATGGAGAGTGAGGTAGTTAATTCGGAGACTAGGGTGCTGAAACTTAATAAAGGAAACTATGAAGATATGAGGCGTGAGTTGGCCTTGATAGATTGGGGAGAGATGCTTAAAGGGATAACAGTGGATAGGCAATGGCAAACATTCAAGGAACACGAGGGAACTGCAACAACTGTTTATTCCTGTATGGCACAAAGGCAAAATGGGCCAGAGGGCCAATCCATGGCTTACAAAGGAAATTAGAAATAGTATCCAATCCAAGGAAGAAACGTACTGGTTGGCCAAGAAAAATAATAAATCTGAGGATTGGAAGCAGTTTAGAATTCAGTAAAGAAGGACCAAGGGACTGATTAAGAAGGGGAAAATACAGTACAAAAGTAAGATCGCAGGGAATATATAGACTGACACTAAGAATTTCTATAGGTATGTGAAGAGAAAGAGATTGGTGAAGACAAGTGAAGGTCCCCACCAGACAGAAACAGGGGGAACGTATAATAGGGGACAAAGAAATGGCTGAGCAACTAATACATACTTTTCTCTGTCTTCATAAAAGAGGACACAAATCAGATCGCAGAAACATTGGACAATGCAAGGTTTAGTGAGGGGGAAGAATTGAGGGTGATCAATATTAATAGAGAAATGGTGCTGGGAAAATTGATGGGATGGAAGGTGGATAAATCCCCAGGGCCTGATAATCTACATCCCAGAGTACTTATGGAAGTGGCTCTAGAATTATTGGATGCATTGGTGGTCATCTTCCAGGATTCTATAAGACTCTGGAACAGTCCCTGCAGATTGGAGGGTGGCTAATGTCACTCCAATATTTAAAACGGGAGGTAGAGAGAAAACAGGGAATTATAAACCAGTAAGCTTAACATTTGTAGTGGGAAAATTTGTTAGATCCATTATTAATGACTTTATAACAGAGCACTTAGAAAGCAGTGGAAGGATCAGATAGAGTCAGCATGGATTTATGATGGGGAAATCATGCTTGTCAAATCTGTTGGAATTCTATGAAAATGTAACTAGTAGAGTTGACGTGGGGAAGCCAGTCGATGTGATATATTTGGACTTTCAGAAAGCGTTTGACAAAGTCCTGCATAAGAGATTACTGTGTAAGATTAAAGCGCATAGCATTGGGGGAAGTATATTGAGATGGATAGAAAACTGGTTGGCAGACAGGAAATAAAAGAGGACGAGTTAATGGGTCCCTTTCAAATTGGCAAGCAGTAACTGGGATCAGTGCTGGGACCCCAGCTAATCACATTATATATTAAGGATTTGGATGAGGGGAAAATAATCTATTTTCTCAAAGTTTGCAGATGATACCAAGTTGAGTCAGAGGGTTGTTGCGGAGGGGGAATGGCTATATCCCTCTGATACTTAAACCGACACAAGCTCGAAATCTGCTGTGACGGGAATGGAGGTTTCCTTTTAATAATTATCTCTGAAAGGCCCAGAGAAGTTCACCTTTCCCCTCGTAATCTGTTAAATTAATCAGAATCCCTGCAGTGTGGAAACAGTGCCTTCGGCCCAACAAGTCCACACTGACCCGCAGAGCATCCCTCCCAGATCCATTCCACCAATTCACCTAATCTACACATTCCTGAGCACTACGGGGAATTAAGCATGGCCAATCCACCTAGCCTGCACATCTTTGGAATATGGGAGGAATATCACGCAGACATGGCGAGAGTGTACAAATTCCACACAGACAGTTGCCTCAGGGTGGAATCGAATCTGGGTCCCTGGCATTGTGAGGCAGCAGTGCTAACCACTGAGCCACTGTGCTGCAGGTTAAAGGAAATGAAATCTCTGATCCACCTTATAAATAACAAGTAACAATTTATTTATTTCACCTTAACAATGAACAAATTAAAAGAGCTACTAACAAACTGAACATTTTCACCCCATTTTTCCAACTACTCCCTAACTAAACTAAATTCTACTGGAATGCTGTTCAAATAAACCCAAGTCCCACTTAATAAATC